ATAATTTTCAGTTTGAATCTTATAAATCTTAATCATAAATGGTAATGTTTTATAATATTTAAGATAACTTGATCTTTAACTTTCAAAAAGACTTAAGATTTCGATCATTTTTTTTTAATTTTTAACAAATAAAACTGTGATATTTATATTTAATTATCAAAAATTTTTTTTTTGAATTTGACTCAGAGAAATTGAAAATTATATAAATTCGATAAATTCTTTAATTAGAAACTTCTAAAAATGTATTCACTCAAAGAAGAATCTAATAAATCCTTTTGGAAAACAAAATTTGATTCATTTAAAGTATTATCAGCTTGAACCAAACTACCAATTATCAAACCTCGAAGAAAATCAAATTCTTATCAAATAGTTGAAATCGATGCAACATTATTCAAAGAAGTTTCAACACAAACTCCAGATATCATATTCCTAACTAATCTTAATAATTTTGATTTAATTAAAAATCATACTTGGTGTTCTGTTAAAAGAAAAAGTGATAATACATTTTATATTTGGACAAAAACTAAAGAAAATAATAAAAATAAAACTGTACAATTTCATCAAATGATTTATTCAGAATGGAAGATAATCGATCATATTAATAGAATTGGAATAGACAATCGTAAATGTAATCTTCGAGAAACAACTCATAAAGAAAATATGTTGAATTGTAATTTGTCTAAAAATAACACATCAGGATTTAATAGGATTTCATTTGATAAATATAATAATGCATGGTGTTTTCAATGGATTAAAAATAAAAAACATAAAGGAAAAAAGTTTTTAATTAATAAAAAAGAACAAATGAAGAAGCAAAACAACAAGCTATCAATTTTAAATTAAAACATAATAAAAAAACAAAAAATACGAATGGATATGAAATTTAATTTTATTATTTTAAAATTACTTATTATTATTAATCAAAATAAAAATAATTTATTTCGGATAAACTTTTTGTAAATTAAAATTAAATTCTTAATTTGGAAATTGATAAGAAACTGTTAATTTGATTGGTTCCTCTTATATTTAACTAACTATATATTAACCATAACAAATAATAAAAAATTATTAAAAAAAATGGATATTCGAACAAAATCATTAATTAATTTGATTCAATGTAATATTAATAATTATATTTATGATAATGATCCTGCTAGTTATTTTGCAATATCTGAACAAGATTTATTATCAGAAACTGAAAATAACAGAGTTTGTGAAATTATTGATAATGTAACAAAAACTCTTACAGATGAAAATAATAATTACTTACAATCAGTTTTTAAAAATTTAAATATTTTTATGACTATTCAAACTGAAGTTCAAAAATGTACAAACAAAAAAAAACTTGTTGATTATATGGATTCTTTAACTACTAAATATATTTTACAATAATTCTATAATAATATATATTTATTTATAACTCATAGGCATACATGTAATAGTATACTCAAATTTATTACATATTATAAAAAATAAAAATATTGAAGAATAAATTATTATCATATTAATAATAATAATTTTCATTAAACTCATTTTTTGTTTAAAAAAATTTCTCATATCATCATTATTAAAAACTATCTTTAAAACAGTATTAATTTCGACTAATTCATTATTTCTATCAACTAATTTTTGATTATTAATTTCTAATTGTCTATTATTTTGTTCAAGTCATTCAATTGCATTATTCAATCTAGTATTTTCTCGTATCAATTCATCTTTATCAGCATTTAAAGTGATATTTCGTTGATGTATATCTCGAATTTCATTTGATAATTTTATATTTTCTTGTTGAAGTAATTCTCCACTGGTTAATTTCGGTATTTCAGACATTTATTTTATTTTATTATTAAAATAAAATGAATAAATTTAGAATGTTTATTTATAAAATTTAAATATATATAAAACTATTTCGATTTAACTATA